AAGCTACTTACTGTAGAACCCTAAGTTGTGCACTATCTTCATTTACAAGGGGAAAACGGTATTTTGGGCTATTTCCTCTTCCACTTTCTTCGCCATTCATTGAAACAATTCTCTTCTTCTCATGCCAAAATCTTTAAAACTGAAATACGAAAACAAAAATTTTGACATTCTTCTCCACTATTCCAATTACAACTATCTTCGGATTCCAATGTTGAATCAACACACACCTTTGAGAATCCTTAAATCCCAACAACAAATCTGCGAATCTCTTATGCACCTCCACTCATTGACCTACTTTCAATTCATAATCTTTTCCACTGACCTATTGTCAAACAATGAAATTAATATGATTATCCTACTGGCAACACCTCAAGCCTGATTACTCCATTGGCAAACACGACCTGCAACCTCCGGGCTGACTCTCACTTAGGTTTACCTCTGATGGCTTTGCAGTAGCGCATCATGGTTCTAAAAGACTATGATTCATCCTCACACTCATGTCCCAAACATCTTCTTCCACAAACTCTCCATGTATCATTCCAACTCACACACAAACTCTCCTCACATCACTCTTTTCACATAAACGCCAACATACGTCGATACTCCAAGATACTCAAAAACTTCACTCCTTCATTCCTTAAACAAGTCCTCACACATGACTCTCCAAACTTGCTTGAGAGGTGTTACTCTTACTCTCTATTTATATTACTTGAGAAGTTATCATAGTAACATATGGTAATTCTTCCTAACTTACTTTTACATAGGTAAATTTGACTAGCCACTATACGTGGCAACATGCCATTGGCCTACCTAAACCTTCTAGAATTCTCCGGAATCCGAGGTTGAGGTGGCGACATGCCATTGGAAGCTTTAAAACTTCTACAAGCTTCTAAGCCACTAAGTCAACATTAGACTTAGCTTAGCCAATCATCTTTCATATATTGAGTCAAATCAATCAAATCCAAGCTTCTAATCAAATATCTAATCCCTTGGAATCTAGAAATTTTGTATAAGACAAAATAGAAGTGTTCACTCCTTGTAAAAGACAAAATAGAAGTGCTCACTCCACTCTTCTAAAACTTCGCTAATTAATCCGCCAACTAGGGACATTGTAGCCAAACTTAGTCATAACTAGCTAGACTTAGCTATGCCTTGGCTAATCGTACTTAATCACTTGACCACTTCTAAGACTTATTACATATGTGCAACACCCGGTCTTACTGATCGTCACACATACATATAGTCGAGCCCAACCCACTTGTGTTGAGAATCCAAGTCGACGCTTACGGCACTCACTAGTCCCAGCACTACTCGAAGAACTGAACGTTTTTTGAGTTTCGCCGACTCAATATCCTTTGCGAACAATAATCCTAGGCTAACGGTTAAATATACTTAACAAAAAAACACATGACACCTTTTAGAAATTATAATAAGTAATTATATGTTATAATGAGTAATTATATATATATGAGTATGTATATATTATAATGAGTAATTATATAAGTTACGGAGGTTATTGTTAGCTCAACATGAGTTTAGAGGTAGATTGTAAAGGTTTAAACCAGATTTTGAATTAACCCCGGTTAGTTTACTCTAGGTAATGATCGGGTTAGCTGCCACTATATAAAGCCGATGGTTTTCGGTGTTAGGTCTACAAAACTTCATTTTTATAACATGTAGATGTTTTTCTCTTCATGGATGTAGTAATCATGAACTTATTTCATTATTATGAAAGGTTAATTTATTTACCCGTGGATCTAATCCCTACTCTGGTGAACCATGTACTTGCTGCTATCACTGTGGATTCATGTGTTTTTAGTTTCTCATATTTATCTGTGTTTTTTTTGAATTGGTGATTATTATTAGTGATATATCGGAGAAACATTGTAACGAAAGATTTTAGAAGTGAATTTTCGATTAGAATGGTATAGGTATAATTTTCTTGGTCAATAATATGTTATACATAGTCATGCAATTGAAAATAAATTTTACTTGCGTCTTGCAACAAGATTGTCGCGAAATGTCAAAGACTACCATTAACCCTGGAGGTGATAGGCAGTTATCTAAAAACGAGACACAGCAAAAGCATATGGAGGCAGTGTTTTCACACTCGGGTTGAAACAGAAAATGTAGTCAATTTCAGAGAATGATTGTGGTCAAAGTTGCAATTGAACTACGACCATTTAAATCCAACGGATCATGAAATATGTTTACTTGCGTCTTGTGTCTTCGACGTGGATTGCTTGAGTCACGAGAGTTCCAAAAAGTTATTCATGACCCACGCATTTCCTTATTTGACCAAACCGAGTACATCACTTACGGAATGGGTAGACAAGATTGTCGCGAAATGTGAAGTACTACCATAACCCTGGAGATGATAGGCAGTTATCTGAAGACGAGACACAGTAAAAGCATATGGAGGCAGTGTCTTCACACTCTGAATGAAGCAGAAAATGTAGTCAATTTCAGAGAATGGTTGTAGTCAAAGTTGCAAGAGAACTTTGACCATTTGAATCCAACGGATCATGAAATTTGTTTACTTGCGTCGTGGGAGAGTTCCAAAGAGTTATTCATGACCCACGCATTTCTTTATTTGATCAAACCGAGTTTATCACTGACGTAATGGGTAGACAAGATTGTCGCGAAATGTGAAGGACTACCATTAACCCTAGAGGTGATATGCAGTTATCCAAAGACGAGACACAGTAAAAGCATATGGAGGCAGTGTCTTCACACTCTGGTTGAAGCAGAAAATGTAGTCAATTTCAGAGAATGGTTGTGGTCAAAGTTGCAATTGAGCTACGACCATTTGAATCCAACGGATCATGAAATGTGTTTACTTGCGTATTGCGTCTTCGACGTGGATTGCTTGAGTCACGAGAGTTCCAAAAAGTTATTCATGATCCACGCATTTCTTTATTTGTTCAAACTAAGTCCATCATTGTCGGAATGTGTAGACAAGATTGTCGCCAAATGTGAAGGACTACCATTAACCCTAGAGGTGACAGGCAGTTATCTGAAAACGAGACACAGTAAAAGCATATGGAGGCAGTGTCCTCACACTCTGGATGAAGCAGAAAATGTAGTCTATTTCAGAGAATGGTTGCGGTCAAAGTTGCAATTGAGCTACGACCATTTGAATCCAACGGATCATGAAATGTGTTTACTTGCATCTTGCGTGTTCGACGTGGATTGCTTGAGTCACGAAAGTTCCAAAAAGTTATTCATGACCCACGCATTTCTTTATTTGACCAAACCGAGTCCATCATTGTCGGAATGGGTAGACAAGATTGTCGCGAAATGTGAAGGACTACCATTAACGCTAGATGTGATAGGTAGTTATCCAAAGACGAGACATAGTAAAAGCATATGGAGGCAGTGTCCTCACACTCTGGTTGAAGTAGAAAATGTAGTCAATTTCAGAGAATGGTTGTGGTCAAAGTTGCAATTGAGCTACGACCATTTAAATCCAACGGATCATGAAATGTGTTTACTTGCGTCTTCGACGTGGATTGCTTGAGTCACGAAAGTTTCAAAAAGTTATTCATGACCCACACATTTCTTTATTTGACCAAACTACGTCCATCATTGTCGGAATGGGTAGACAAGATTGTCGCGAAATGTGAAGGACTACCATTAATCCTAGAGATGATAGGTAGTTATCTGAAGACGAGACAAAGTAAAAGCATATGGAGTTAGTGTCTTCACACTCTGGTTGAAGCAGAAAGTATAGTCAATTTCAGAGAATGGTTGTAGTCAAAGTTGCAATTGAGCTACGATCATTTGAATCCAACGGATCATGAAATGTGTTTACTTGCGTCTTGCGTCTTCGACGTGGATTGCTAGAGTCACGAAAGTTTCAAAAAGTTATTCATGACCCACACATTTCTTTATTTGACCAAACTACGTCCATCATTGTCGGAATGGGTAGACAAGATTGTCGCGAAATGTGAAGGACTACCATTAAGCCTAGAGGTGATATGCAGTTATCTGAAAACGAGACACAGTAAAAGCATATGGAGGCAGTGTCTTCTCACTCTGGTTGAAGCAGAAAATATAGTCAATTTCAGAGAATAGTTGCGGTCAAAGTTGCAATTGAGCTACGATCATTTGAATCCAACGGATCATGAAATGTGTTTACTTGCGTCTTGCGTCTTCGACGTGGATTGCTTGAGTCACGAAAGTTTCAAAAAGTTATTCATAACCCATGCATTTCTTTATTTGACCAAACTGAGTCCATCATTATGGAAATGGGTAGACAAGATTGTCACAAAATGTGAAGGACTACCATTAACCCTAGAGGTGATATGCAGTTATCTAAAGACGAGACACAGTAAAAACATATGGAGGCAGTGTTTTCACATTGTGGATGAAGCAGAATATGTAGTCAATTTTAGAGAATGATTGTGATCAAAGTTGCAATTGAGCTACGATCATTTGAATCCAACGCATCATGAAGTGTGTTTATTTGCGTCTTTAGTCTTCGACGTGGATTGATTGAGTCACGAGAGTTCCAAAGAGTTATTCATGACCCACGCATTTCTTTATTTGACCAAACCAAGTCCATCACTGACGCAATGGGTAGACAAGATTGTCGCGAAATGTGAAAGACTACCATTAACCCTAAAGGGGATATGCAGTTATGTGAAGACGAGACACAGTAAAAGCATATGGAGGCAATGTCTTCACACTTTGGATGAATCAGAAAATATAGTCAATTTCAGAGAACGGTTGTAGTTAAAGTTACAAGTGAGTTACGACCATTTGAATCCAACGAATCATGAAATGTGTTTACTTGCGTCTTGCGTCTTCGACGTGGATTGCTTGAGTCACGAGAGTTCCAAAGAGTTATTTATGACCCACGCATTTCTTTAATGACCAAACCGAGTCCATCACTGACGGAATGGGTAAACAAGATTGTCGCGAGATGTGAAGTACTACCGTTAACCATAGATGTGATAGGCAGTTATCTAAAGACGAGACAGAGTAAAAGCATATGGATGCAGTGTCTTCACACTCTGGATGAAGCAGAAAATGTAGTCAATTTCAGAGAACGATTGTGGTTAAAGTTGCAATTGAGCTACGACCATTTGAATCCAACGGATCATGAAATGTGTTTACTTGCGTCTTGCGTCCTTGATGTGGATTGTTTGAATCACGAAAGTTCCAAAAAGTTATTCATGACCCACGCATTTCTTTATTTGACCAAACTGAGTCCATCATTTTCGGAATGGGTAGACAAGATTCTCATGAAATGTGAAGGACTACCATTAGTTCTGGTGGTGATAGTTAGTTATCTGAAAACGAAAGACTGTAAAAGCATATGGAGGCAGTGTTTTCACACTTTGGATGAAGCAGAAAATGTAGTCAATTTTAGAGAACGGTTGTAGTCAAAGTTGCAAGTGAGAAACGACCATTTGAATCCAACGGATCATGAAATGTGTTTACTTGCGTCTTGCGTCTTGCGTCTTCGACGTGGATTGCTTGAGTCATGAGAGTTCCAAAGAGTTATTCATAACCCACGCATTTCTTTATTTGACCAAACCGAGTCCATCACTTACGGAATGGGTAGACAAGATTGTCGCGAAATGTGAAGGACTACCGTTAACCCTAGAGGTGATATGCAGTTATCTGAAGACGAGACACAATAAAAGCATATGGAGGCAGTGTTTTCACACTCTAGATGAAGCAGAAAATGTAGTCAATTTCAAAGAACGGTTGTGGTCAAAGTTACAAGTGAGCTACGACCATTTGAATCCAACGAATCATGAAATGTTCCTTGATACTGCGACTTTCTTTAACAACTTTACATGGAACCTGCAAGCAGCTAAGTCTTGCAGGCGTAAGCTCTATCGCTTTGAAGATATACGATGGAGTACTCTGGTAGATTTGTCTCTTGTCTACGATGTAAACGAAGATGATTGTATACGAATGCACTAGCAAATAAGGTATGTGGGAGTGAAATTCGCTTGAGCATGGCGAGATAACCGCATATGTATGACTTGGACTAATAAGAATATTTCCTCGAAGTCATCCATCACCCATCGAAGTCATCATATGGAAGTTAAGGTAAACGAAGAGAATTGTATAGGAATGCACTAGCAAATAAGGTATGTGGGAGTGAAATTCGCTTCAGCATGGCGAGATAACCGCATATGTAGGACTTGGACTAATAAGAATATTTCCTCGAAGTCATCCATCACCCATCGAAGTCATCCTATGGAAGTTAAGGTATGCGATTATTGTCAAGTCATCAAAATTTTCAATCATTTGCCTATCAGAGATTCTATTTTTAACTCAAAGAAAGACATGAAAAAAATAGTAATGCTGATAAAAAAAAATTAAAGTATCAAATGTCATTTTCAAAATTTACAGTAGAGGATGTCAATCATATATAATAAACCTTTTGCCAATGCAGGATGTCATGAGACAAAATCCTCAGATCAATCGGCACTTTAATACTATTTCGTTTGTGGATCTCACGTATATCTCAAAGTAAGATGCAGAACAGGAAAGAGACCAAGCTATGCATTTCAAAACCTTGAGGTTAAACATGAAAATCCGTAATCAAATACATGACAAATAGAGTTACCAAAAAGATATAGTGTGAAATTACAAGTTGATAAATAATAACAATGTGAGACAAAACGAATGAGGCCCGCATAAACTAACAGTAGCCTTTCTCCCCACGTATCTTTCGGCTTGGACTTCCGGTTTTAGAAGGGAAGTGCCAAACGGGTAGTCTGTTTGAGATGTGGCAGGTGTGTGGACAAGACAGCAATTGCGAAGAGAGAGAAAAGCTTCGCAATAAGACCAAACGGGAAGTCTTGTTTGAGGGTGACAGGTGTATGGACATGACAGAAATTGCGAAGAGAGAGAAAACCTTCGCAATAAGACTTGTATAAATCGTCAAAAGCCAGGATGCCTGAAATCTTCATCGCTATCTGATACGGCAGATCCACGCTAGAGGTGCCGGACGCTCCACAGACCGCTACTGTCCATTACCGCAGGACGACCAGACCTTCCGGCACAGTTAAGTTCTATGAAGAGAAAATACATATTACGGATTAACGAGCGGCTGCCGCACGTACCGTAATGTGTGTACGACCCGCATACAGTACAGGACATGGATGTCAAGTAATTCGACTCTCGAGCTCAAACGTCGGAAGCTTCGAAGGTGTTCGCAGAGGAGTTGTGAAGTTACATGATCAATTGTGCGACGAGTATGCCCCTCCTTTCATTTTGAATTGAAGCAAGAGGAGGGTTGGGGAATTTGGTGTCGGACAGAACGGATCGACATTTGTTACCTCGGAGGGAGTGGAGGTCTCTGCGTTTTTTGGGTGTATCTCCCGGAGTCCGAGGAGCAGCGAGCGTAAATGGACGCGGGGAGGTGTGTCAAGATGGGTGTTGGATCGGAGGCCGATTTAGGTGTTGAGTCATCTGTGAGAAGGGCCATCGATCGCAGCAGAAGAGATAGAAATGATGGCTGCTATTACTCAACCCTGTTCAACTCGGTTTGCTCGTTGGACAAGAACGAAGCCGGCAAACCTGTGCAGATTTGCGAGAAGACGGAAAAGCTTCTCAGGAGATGCGCTGGAAGGTACTGATTCATGCCTCGTGAAATTCGATTTCATCTTTTCTTTGGTACCTGTGGATCGTCGGTACCTGCAGTCCTTGCTTCCGAAGTTGAGACATTTTGCTGTTTCTGCACGTCTTTGTTGTTGGGTAGTTTTGATTAAATGACCCTGAATGTGGAAAATTGCATGTTCGGTCAGTTTTTTCTCCATCATCTGAGTTGTGAATGTTGAATGAAGAGGAATGTGGGGATGATACCAGTGCAGGTGTCATTAGGCAAGGCATGTGTATCTTTAGGGTATAGCCTGTAGCTGAAATCACGAGATGTTCTTATTCGTTTCTATCGCACAGAGACCGACTTTCGGTGGTTCTCCGTGTGCATCTCGAGCATCTCGGACTGTTGGCATTTGGAAATCCATCTGCGATTCTGAATTTGACTTGCGTTGGGCAGTAAATGTAGGCCTTACATGTGGTCTAGGAACAAACAAGTTTATTCATTGTCCTCTTTACATTTATGTATCACAAATGTCGGTAGCAACGAATCCCGTTCTCATCTCTTTCGTTTTGCCGTCTTCTCTTCCCTTTATCTCGAGCAGACCGCAGGAAGTCGTGGAGTCAAGAACTGAGAAGACAATTGAAGACGTATCTACTAGTTCCAGTTCATACTTAGCAGACAACCATGTCGGGCCAAACCGTCGATTCCAGCAGCCTCCTATTCAAATCCCGGAGGAGTATAGGGAAGAATGGCCTCGTCGAGGAATGGAGAGTTCTATCCTTCATGAGCTGTTTGAAAGAAATGGCGACTCGTTTGCCAGAGGTATTGAAGAGCTGGTGGAAGCTGCAGAGGATATGGTGCAAGAAGTGTTTGGACCTTTTGGTTTGGCCGACGAAGCTCTGCCTAGACAACCTTCGGAACACAGGGAGGATCGTCCATCAGGCTGGTTGTGGGAGAAATTTCTCGGGCGAGGTCAAAACGAAAGGCCCAAACATAATGAAACAAACTCTCAGCAATCACAGCCCCAGAAACCAGCAGATTACTCCGGTTTGGTTAGGAATATTCAAGAAGTTTGAGCAGGTATAGCTCTAGACGACGTACTCTTCACTGAGCAATTCTGTTTTCGGAGTTGGAAAAGGAGGTTGATGTCTCTTCCTCACAGACCTATATTATTGTCTTGAGGTGATCATGTAAACGTATCATCCAAAGACCGAACGCCCTGATCCCTTCTTCTGTAGAAAATACGGGAATCTCGCAGTCAACATTATGAGCAGTTTCATCTTTCCAAAGTAGATTCTTTTTATCATAGAAATCTAAAACACCTGCTGGTTTCTTATTCTCTTGGACATTTAGTTGTATGGAATCAACTGTAAGTACTTAGATCTTTCGCATACTCTACAAACTTTTCGTGGTATCCTGAAATAAAGATCTGCACTTCAATACCGAAGTATTTTGCAAATGTTTGCAACTGTCGCGATGCCGTCTAAGCTTCAAATTTTTTGGGCTGTGACATGCTTAGACATCTGCATCGTATTATAGATAAGCTCGATAGGTGGTTATATTATAAGCAGTTGGTATGTGCCGCTGTGCTGCCTCCGTTTTACAGTCATTGAGGTTTGATCTGTACCAGAAACAGGACCCGTCAGATCGTTGGGACAGGACACATTGGTAGCACACTTTCAACCTCTTTTCCGAAGACATGAAACGGCATGTATATGGGTGAACGGCATGTTCGGAAGGAAAGATCGTCAACCAGCAGCGCTGCCTTAACTTACTTAATAAATTTCTTAGTCAGTTTTCTTACAACTTAGTTATGTTTATTGAAGAGTAATTCATTGGAAGAGGTTGGCAAACAAGTGCTCCCGTTTGCTACCGTCTACAAACTGCACATGACATAGTCTGAAGGAGAATGTGAAATTGGCTTGGGCTACAGAGAGGTTTCTGAATTTCAACCTGTGGCGTGCAGCTAAGAGGAAGATATAGTGCTAGTTTTGAGAAGAGGGAAAGCTTTTCTTAACCATCTCTGATAGGCCGTAACCTCAGACCTGAAAACCTCAACTTTGCTTGAAACAGTCGTAAAGAAGAATGTCATCAGGGACCTTTATCCTTTCTCATGAAGCCTGCAACCATCCAGCTACAGCTGTGGACCCTAGTAGATGCCGTTCACTATTCAACTCAAATTTTCATGCGTTATTAACTCGAATCTTGAACTACGGACATTGCAGAGGACCGGCCATGACGGAGAGCCAAGACCTGTACTGGGAATATGACGTTTGCTGCTGAGCCTCTCCAGGACGTCACGCTGACAGACAGTCACGGCTCGTTGAAACGCACAGGATCGTGCAGAAGACTCGGTCCACATACACAACTTGAATCTAGACGCAAGTGACACGCAAAACCTCGATCGATCTTGAAGCGGTGCAAAGCCCCGGGCTGACCAATTAAAATATTAATTTTTTCCCGTCAGAGAGGCAAGAACCTAGAGACATGAGGGGAACTCAACTTGGATGTTGTGTACATTTGGACCCTAGAGGAACCACAAAGTTCCCCGCGGAGTGCAAAACTTAATAACTGCTCCTTCTTCCAATTTGTCCGTGAACTAATAAGCTAATGATGACTGTCAAAAAGAGACGAACGAGGAGCCTTCAAATGATCAACTCCATTCACGATCTACCTAAATAAACTACAGTACAGATCTGTCTAAGTGTGTTTATGATCCCACAAAGTGGGGAAGATACTCAAGCAATTTGCTTGTGAACTACTACTACTATACAAGTGATAATACTTCAATGGCTTAGTTTCTCTATATCAAACTATACATCGGATTCCTCCCATGCAGTTGTCGAGTCTTCTTCTTGATGTATCGTCAGGTTCTCTTTCTTCTGCGGTTTAGTCTGCACAATACATAGACAGAAATTTCCTTATCAATACTCGTGCTATCCGTGGTCATGCAAAATGGATCCACAACAAACACATCAGAGGATGATGGTGCTCCACGGCCCCTCCAACGTCACCGGGCCATGTGCTAAGAAGTGTACCTTCAAAATCTGCAGTAATACAAAGAGATAAAAAGCGTCTCAGACATGGCTCTTTCATCGGGCGTGGTGAACACCGAAACCACGAACACACAGGTGCATGTGAAGGGCATCGTGAGGGGATTATAGATGTAAACTCACTTGTAAATTACTGCAAACGCTCAAAACTTCTTCGAGGGGAGCCCAATCGCCGAACGAACGCTCGATGAATTGGTATGCAACACCTGTCTTTCCTGGTCCAACGATGTACAGCCCTCCTTTGATGGTGCCTTCCCCGGTCGTATTGTAATCAAACCCAGTCGCAGTTGCTCTTTTCCAGTTCCGTCGAGCGTGTGAATTGAAGAAAAACCCAGTGCACAAATTATCTGTCAGCAGCTGCCCTCCTCCCAGAGCCTTGAAGAAATCCCTGTTCCGATCCACCAGCACCATACCACCCCAATAACGAGGCCAAAATGCCTTCACCTGAAGCCACAGGGACCAGCTCAGTACCCCCAAGATGCCCAAGGCTAAGGACCACGAACAACGATCCAAATTGATACAAACCAATGATGGACAATAATAAACATAGATCTCATGCATGAAATTTCATCGGTCCAAGATATTCCTCCGCCACTCGGTTACGAACCTCAAAGTCGATCTGCTCGTTCAGAATGGCGACGAGCTGGATGCCCAGGGAGTCGAAGATCGATTTCCTCGCGTACAGTCGATGAGCCTCGGCACGACACATGACACAACTGCGAAAGAGAAACGAGACCCATAGCACGCGTCAGCAGCACTCTCCGAATCGTTCATCGATCACTAATTTCGACGGTCCAGTCACCGTGCCACCGATCTCTACGCTCTGCACTGCAGCTGAGCGCTGGTGCACGCATCGTGGTGGATGCCGCCGACTGAAGAATAATCTCATTTTGCGAGTGGATCCCACGCACGGAATTCTGCCAGACGCGACTCTAAGCTGGTACGTACGTGGCCAGGAGAATGCGGAAGTGGGTTCACGCATCGCTCAACGAGATCGAGCTGGAAAGGCGGGACGAGGCCAATGCAGTGAGAGTGCTCTCCTGTCATCTATCTAAAGGGGCATTGACGAATCCCAAACAAACAGCCAGCTCGCTTCTGGACACACAGGGGCGTATTCAAGATGGAAAAGCTGACGGAATCTCCGTGGCCTCGGTCATTAAGAGCTAGGAAAAGAATGGGACAGTTGGCAAGCAGGAAATGCCGAGGGCGGAGAATGTCATACCCGGGGCGACGGACGCAGAGCAGGAGCACGGTGTTTCGAGCCCATAATTCCGAAGCTTTCATCGGAGGGGGCAGCTTGAGCTCGCCATCGACCCACGGAGAAATCCCGGCCTTGTGCTCGGGGACCAGTTTCTGCACGTAGATCTTCTCGAGAATGGACAGAGGGGTGACATCGTTCGTTACGCGCTTGGGCTGGACGAGGCCGCAGAGCCGGGGCGGGGTGTCGCCGTTGGCCACGATCCCCTTGATGGGAACGGCCTTGTCACCGCCGTCGTCGGTTTTGTTGCCGTCGGAATCGAAGTGTCGGAAGTTCGAGGACTCGTGAGACGGGCGCCGGCGGTGACCCGGCAGACTTCCCGCGTGGGCGTCGCTGGGATCCGAAATCCGACTCACGAAGCTGCTAACGTCGCTGTCTGCGTCCCCCGGGCGCTTCCTGGCCGGAAGTGTGAGATCCGACGGCAAGATCACTCCGCAGGCGGAACTCCGATCGACGAACCTCGCTACATGCCCCCTCCGCATCCCGTACTGCGACACCAGATCGCCCGGCGTCGTGCTCAGCAACTCCGGCAGCCGTTTCCCCGACTCCTCCAGCTGATCCGCGTACTGCATCAAATTCCGGTCGTGCAAATACGTTCGCAATTCCAGCGCATCCTGCATTCCATCGACATTCACACTCACATCAAATCAAACTGACAACAATCGAATTTCACGCCGCCGAAATTTCATCAAACTGCGGGCATGAAACTGTCTCTCATTCATCTGCGGGGAGTGCGTACCCGCTGGGCGTCGGTGAGTTTGAGCCCCTCCATGTCGGCGGCGCTCATCATCTTGAGCGTGGGAACGTCGTCCCATCCGTCCGCCGTGAGCGCGTCGAGTATGTCCTTCAGAGCGCCATTGCCTGCGAATTCCTCCACGGAATAGGATGACATCTCGGTTGCGGATGTCGACGACTTCTGTGCAGTGGTGGTCGTTGTCACGACAATTCCCACCGTACTCGTTCCGGTCTCTCACAAAATTGGGCCTATCTCTACCTGAGACAACAACCTGCAATTATCGAGAAAGAAAGAAATGTACAGATCCACGAACCCGGCCCGCACTTCGTAGATTGACGAGCTACGCTTTCGATTTCAACCAGTGAGTGGAATTAGAGAGAGAGAGAGAGAGAGAGAGAGAGAGTCACAAAAACAAAACACGCTAAAATGTTCAGGCTCTTGCCTGAAGCAATCTGAAATCTACAGATGTGTCTAGGAGTCAGTTGGCACACAAAATGGCCCGAGGTGTGTATTAAACCCCAAACAGAGCGAGCTGCGAGAAGAGGAGCTGCAGCTTGAGGTTCAATGCAGAGGAAGACCGGCCCGAACGTCGGGCGAACTTGCACCAGCACACTCACAAGACAGACACTCAGGGAAGGTCTAACTTGTAAGAGATTCGGCTCATCTTCCGATCGTCCTCGTCATGGAGATCCCCCGGATTTTGGACCTCTTCTCATCCGGGCAGCAGATCCCTCCGACTTTCTGCGCATAAAACAAAGCTCCAGCTCCGCCTGGGCTTAAAATGAAATCCTTGTCCCGTCCCAGGCTCTCGCCGGTCGCAACAAAAGCGCGTGCGCATGCATGACCTCTTCCTCGCTCCCCTTGCCTGTGTTCCTCCCTCCTTCCTTGCTCCAGTCCATGCATCCCCTTTCAGTTGCTTGTCTGGCAATCCTCCTCATCCCATCGATCGGTCGGGACAGCTAGCCAGGCCAAGCCGAGCCCCAACACGAGCTCACAATTGGGCCGAATGCTCCTCCTTTCCATGCGCCCATTTCCCATTCGCCTGCAATGAATTGAGACCGCAGCCAGCTCTTCCTTCTTTCCTGCCTCGCGGGACGACGTTTACTGCTGTCCGTGTTGTATATTCGTGATCCCGAAGCCCGCAGCTTGTCCTCATCTCCAAGAGAACGACCTTCTGTGGACGGTGTTTGTCCTTGCGTGCGGGTGGGACTTCTCCCATCATTTCCATAGACCTCTAGATCATCTCTTACCTCGAGACGAAGCAAGCGACCCTTCCTAGTTCCTACCTCTAGTTGCTTCGTTGACCCTTGTCGACGTTATTCTAACGAGAAGATAAACTGCAAAGCTCAGAGTTGTATCAAAAGGTCATGAGGATCAGACAAAGTTAAACGCGTATCCATGCTATTCTCAGTTTCAGATAATTGAGTACTTGGTGAACTTCAATATACATAAACACATAATTGTTGATTACTTCCCACTCATTTTATATGTGATCTTCTGTACACTTTAGATATATAAGGTAAATGGAAAGGTTCCAGAGGATTTGTTATTTATCTTAATATATAATATGAGTGCACTTTAGATATATAAGAGTCCAGAGTACTTGCTATTTATCTTAGTATATAATATGAGTGCACTTTATATATATAAGATTCTAGAGGACTTGCTATTTATCTTAATATAAAATATGGGTGCACTTTAGATGCACAAGGGTCCATGTGGCTTGTTACTCCGTTCACATGGAATATGGCTCTTCATGATGCAATTACTAGTGATGTGTGTTATGGTACGAGAGGATGAATACCTCGATGAAATTATACATGTTCACACAAACTCCAGTCGTCTTCCTGGACGGGCAACAACTGGAGTGGCAACCTCCTATGTCTTCAAATATATGCGTATATTTAGAAAATCCAAAAATACTGTACTATACAAAATGGTGTACTAAATTTTAAGCAAATTCTCTCGGTTTCACTCTACGGCTCTAACTTCATGTGGAATAACTGCGTTCAATGCACAGTGCGTACTTTGAGTTGAGCTTTAGTTTGGAAAACTGGGCTGTACAGAGTAATATCCATGTGCTCACACACGTCAGTACAGGTCATCATTCCCTCTCGACCTGAACCAGCTTTCGCCCCCAAAAGTGCACGTGATTGTTTGGGTGTATTTTATTGATCGTCATAGTATCGTATGACTTGAATATCAACAGAGATTCCGGTGAGAAAACCGTACAATGTCCTCAACGCTGACCTCATTACATCCAACTGTGCAGTTGATCAATTTGTGATAATTCATTTTCCATATATGCATTAAAAATGTATGTACTGTGGAAGATATTCATCTGGATAGCCCATGTACAGGTAGAGAGGTAAGAGGTTTGATTGATTTATGAGGTAATTGATACTCTTCATCCTCCATAACACACTCGACATGTTCAAAGTATGGCCCACTGCGCCTTACTGTCTTGATGTGGAAATGCTTAAGTTCACGAACCTTTATGCAAGCACGACGATCGTACCTGAAGTAACATGAAGATGCCCGAGAAGAAGTAAAGATAGAGTATACGAACAAGATTAATAATTTGATTAATCGGGTGATACTGAAATAGAATATTGTAATTATTGATCTGAACGATACATTGAAAGCCCTGGAAGAAGACTCCATTCCGGTGATGCGATGTGCTTCTCCGCATTGAGTAACATCCAATATAAATAAAAATACATATGTATTTATAAAAAGTAGAATTCAATAATTTACCTTCGAGAAGTTCGGGGATTGAAATCTCATAAAGACACACAGAATATGGTCATTACGAGTCGGGCATATCGCACCACACGATCCTGCTTCCTGATCCATCCACCATAAGCTTGTGCTTCTGAAAGATTGTACGATGAGTTCCCAGTCGCTTGTACAAAAATGATTGTCCAGGACGCGGAGGAATTTCGAATTCGACCATCCGAAGGCAGTGAAGATCTACGGAGTTTCCTTCAAGCAATCTTTCCACTCTTTAGTGTAACTACCCGAGGGGTCAGGTACGGTTGCGGTCTTCATTATCGAGTGACCGGGTAGTCATGTCCAAAAGATTCTGTTATGTGTAGCATGCGAAGGCTTCGTCCCCCTCAGATAACGAGTATCTGTCTTCTGGGTGATATCTATACAGAGTACTTCCGTCCTCCTGTCCATGCAGGAATCACGCTGACGTGGCTTTTCCTAGCAAAGGTCCGTCTCTGTTATTCACATTTAACTAGCGTCCACAGGAGATACATGGCGTCACTTGAAAGTGGTAGATAATTATGTATATTAAGGCCTGCAGCATCCAGCGTTTGTAGTCCAACGGTTAGGATAATTGCCTTCCAAGCAATAGACCCGGGTTCGACTCCCGGCAGACGCACTTAATAGCCCCTCAAAGTATATGGCGTTAGATGATGACCGCATTGATAGCTTTCTCCTTTGAAATTTTTTCGGGTCATGTTATGTTCCGCTTATTCACATATTTCTTTCATCCAAGTTGTCATAAACTTGCTTGGTATCAGGATTATGCGCAAACTTTAGTCTCCCTCTTGCCAAATTCGGGACGAGAATTTTTAAACACAGGAAAATTTTATTAATGTTTTGGTACTTGGAAGAAAACCGCATTCTATCATGTTGTGGTCTATCTGGTACGCTTTAAATCTCACAATAACAAAGTAATAGTCATCTACTTCAGCTTTATCTCCATGATGTCATGTAATTTAATAACGAAGGCTGATCTTATGCAGCCCCTGGACAATCTAACCACATTCCATTGAAATGCACTTGCCTATCCGGATAGCCATTTTCATTTGCATCGCTCGTGATGCATTTGACTTCAAAACAATCATTGATTTGTGTAATGACCTGGAGAGCCTCTATTTCCTTCCTCTCTCCATCAGCAGAGTGCAGACTTTCTACTCTGATTAATTTTTCGTCGGAGGTCTGCTTTTCACCGGCCTTTCATGCCATGGGCGTGAGTCAAAATGGACCGGAGCGAAAGGCATCTGAACCCTGTCGAAAACTGGCTCGGGAATTCTGACGGCCCCATGGCTAGATTTCATCATTGAGAGCCCTCCTTTAATGGTTCAGGATTTTCTCAGTCCACAACCCCTTTCACATTGTGCGCCTTCGTGCGGAACCTGGACCCACTGAGGACAATCGCCCATCGACGGGAGCAAAGTACTGTGAAGGCAAATTAGAGGCAGTTTCCGATCTTAGAGGTACTGCCAGTCGTGGCTAAACAGGGCATGACCCTCAAGGGCGATGGTGTTGAGCACGGCGCACAGTCGCACAGAGGGCTGGCCTCGGAGTTGCACACCGAGCGCGAGCTTTTGCGGCTGCAGATTCCGAAATTGTGGGGGGGGCCACGTCCTCGCTGCGAGCGGAATGGTGAGCGAGCGCTCGACGATGAGATCGGTGTAGAGAGAGAGAGAGAGAGAGAGAGAGAGGAGCAGGGGGAGGAGATCGATTGGGGATTCCGATATTGAGGAGCTACGACATTGTGATCGAGACTCGGGAGGCGGGAGGAATCGCGAGAGCTCGTCGAGATGATGGAGATGGTGGGGAGTACGGCGGCGAGCTACTGGAAGTCGATGGAGGAACACGGATTTCGCCCGGATCAGCCCTCGTCGAGGTCGTGGGCATTGTTGGCGGGTTATTTTGTGGGGCTGGCCGTGCTGGGAGTCGTCGTTCCGGGGCCGAAAATTCAAGGCGTGGTTTTGGCGGATAAAACTCGAATCACTTACAAGTGCAATGGGTTCGCGGTGCTCGTGGTTCTTTTGGCAGTGCTGGCCGGTGGCGCCAGCGCTGGGTTCTTTTCTCCTTCGATCATCGCCGATCAGGGCGGAGAATTATTCGTGGCCGCGCTCATCCTGTGCACCGTGCTCTCGATTTACCTCCAGGTCGTGGGGTCTCTGTCCCGGAGCAAAAGCACTTCGTTGGTGTCTCATGCGACCGGCAATGTCGTACACGATTGGTGGTTCGGAGTGCAGCTCAATCCTAGCCTTTTGGGTCTCGACCTAAAGTTTTTCTGGATACGAGCAGGCATGATGGGATGGCTGCTCATCAACCTGTCCATTGCCGCGAAGAGCTATCTCGAGCATGGATCTCTTCCGGTGTCTATGGTGCTCTTCCAGGTCTTCTGTCTGATTTACGTGCTGGATTATTTCTGGTTCGAGGAGTATATGACCTCGACATGGGACATAATTGCCGAACATTTCGGATTTATGCTCGTCATGGGGGATGTGGTTTGGATCCCCTTCACCTTCAGTATTCAAGCCTGGTGGCTTATGACGAATCGTGCAGAGCTGACCAAAGTCGCCGCCTTCATGGATGTGGTCATCTTCCTCATCGGGTACACAGTTTTTCGTGGCTCAAACAAACAGAAACACATTTTCAAGAAGGATCCCAAAGCTTTGATTTGGGGCCAGCCTCCGAAAGTCGTGGGAGGGAAATTGCTGGTTTCTGGGTATTGGGGAATTGCCAGGCACTGCAATTATCTTGGAGATCTTCTCGTGGCTTTCAGTTTCAGTTTACCTTGTGGATTCAGTTCTCCAATCCCTTACTTCTATCCGACTTATCTGCTTATCTTGCTCCTTTGGCGAGAGAGAAGAGACGAAGCGAAATGTAGACAGAAGTATAAGGAAGTATGGGTTGAATACTGCAAAACCGTACCGTGGAGAATTATTCCCGGTTTGTACTAGTATCTTGTAGGTCTCTTTCTTCTGCGGCTGACGAATATCCAATTTGTGGATTTTATTCTGCTCAAATGTGCATGAGACTTGGTCTGTGTCGGTGGACTTGTGTTACCAGATTTTTCTTTTCACCACGACCCCAGTACTACTGGTCTTAGATTTGCCAATGAAAAGCTACAAGACTGATCGATAGACTGGACACACTTTGTCTCTACTTCTACCCGGAAACTCTAGAAGAAATGGATGTACAGGCACTTTGTAGTTAATTGCGTCCAAGTCGTTTATGAGGATATGAATCAGTCATCAACCTTACTTCACTACACGCACCATCACTCGAGACTTCCCGGTCGAACTAGAAAACAGCGCTTAACAGCTAGAGGTAGAGGATCTTTTGAGTAATGTTTGACATTTTTCTTCTCAGGTCATTTTGATAGATGAGCTCTGTCTAAATTTCAGGAGAGTTTGCTACATCCTTTGACTCAGGCTATGATCTAAACCATCCCATCTACACGCCTACTTAAGGTGTTTGATTATCCTTCTCAAGCCATGATGCGAATTGAAAAGGCCAGTGGCCTTCTCATTTCCAGTGGCCAGCGGCAGCGTCCAGATAGAGCACATCTCACTCTTCCAGTTAAAGCAAACATATATACACATATATAATGATCATGATCATGATTTGGAAATTTCATGATAATTTGGCAAAGGCGTGCCGACAACGACTAACTAACGACGAGACGAGGAGACAACTCTCTTTCATAAACTTTATGATTTTATTTGTACTCTTGGTATATCGTGAACGACATTCCAGAATTTCGGACATTCCAGAAGAACAACTACCCTTAATTAATTCATAGTTGAATTGGTACAAACATCGGCAATACTAGAACAATCTCCTTTTGAAGTTGAAAAGGCATTTTCTTTGTGTACCTTACGACTGTTTCTAAACTTTAGTATTGGACGAAGTTTGACACATGTCACTTGCCGTCCAGAAACTATGTCAGCAGTACCTGTAAGACCTCTCTTTATGCTGTCTCTGCCCGCCTCAGGTCCGTTTAAGAAACAAAATTCTCCTGTTCCGGAATAAAATGTTCACTCCGAAAGCAGCTTTTCCATTGCCACGTTGTCTTTGACTAATTCCGTCTCAAACCAGAGCTGAAGCTTCGACTATGGTCCTTAGGACTTGTGTAGATTCATAGGTTACACAAACATGTCCTATATGCTTTCCTTACGGAGGAATGTTTAGATAGAAACCACCTTTGATGTAGATTCGTTCACTTGCAAGGCAAGTTCGTCTTAACACTACAGGGTCCGCCTCAACTCATTACTAGTGTGGGTAATTCGTGGGTTCACATAAGTTGTGAAGCTTCTAGGATTTGAACATGCAGTATTATGAGATCAGCACATAGAGGTATATTGATCAAACAACACGAGCGGATCGGTACGGACGTTGTAACTCATGCCACCGTTTTTGTCGGCGTTCGTCAGAGCAAGAGTCAAGCTCAAGAAACTCAGGTATCCTTTCATCTTGTAGTTTCTCTCCAGACCACCCAATATGAGATTCGCTTTAACGTATAAAACCAAACGAAACGCAAGTATCAGCTCAGAGGATGTTAATTTTCAATACGCTTGAACCGTCCCATGGTCCTGATTCGAGACACCGACTCTTCATCATTCACGCAAAAACTAAATGGTGGTTGTGTATCAACTTCATTCAACATGCTGAGTTTCATCGTGACTTCCGCACAGAGAATATACATACAGGATCAAACTTCCGGGTGAAAATCTTACAAATACAAAGATCCTAATTCAGACTGTGCCTGTCAAATTTTATGTTGTTGCAAGCTACAATCTTATGCCAATAACCTTCTCGATATGATCGTGGTTTAGTCTGCAGATACCATGTATTCACCTGTAGCGTCTGTATTGTGGAGTCCACATGCGCTTCTCAGCAATTTCAAGCAGATTTGCGGGCTTTGGTAGGTTAGTTGCAACCCCTGCAAACAAAAACAAGGCAATCTACATTTTAGTTTCTAACGCGTTCAAGCTTTGGAAAGAGAACAAACAAATTGTGAACACTTTCAAGACGGATGTGATCTAATATCTTAAGAATGCCACAAGTTATCGTTTCATGTACCCGTAATTCAGAGATCATTACTACAATGGAGAAAGCCGATGCAGTTTGTTTACTGCGATAAATAGACCCACTATGGCGATCTAAACAATTAAACATCGGTGTTATGGGACACGTACCATGTTCGTATGCCTTGGAAGCAACAGCTTTGGCAATTTGCGCGGAGACAGCTCGAACCTTCCGAAGAGGTGGATACACAAGTCCTTTCTTTCTATCCTCGTCTGTCACCTCTCCTGCCAACGTTTCAGCTGCGAAATCGAAGTCAACATTTTTTAGTGCAGGGCCAAATCAAGTATTCCAAACATAAATGTACCAACTTGGATAAAACAGAAATGGCTAAAGAAACATCCTCATTCTCCATCCCTTCCCGCAACAACATCCCACCAACTACACGATCCTTTTTGTCCCTAATCAATCTTCATCCATGCCGTAAAGCGTGAAATATATGGTCAGCCAATTACCTGCAGCCAGGAACATCTCGTCCCTGATTCGTGTGGTACCAGCAACAAGGCAGCCAAGTCCAAAGCCGGGGAAGATATATGCATTATTGCCCTGAACATTACGCAATTATTTGACGTGCTTGTGAGCTGCCCATGGATGTAGAAAAGGAAGAACAGACAGCCTTCACAGACCCCTTGCTAGTGGCGTTAATGTCTTTCACAACACAGGTGACCCTTTGAATGTACTATCTCTGATGTCTTCCGCAGCGATAACTACAGGACATTAGGTTGAGTTTCTTTCAGCCATAAAGTGCTGGCTCTGAAATTAGCTTGTGGAACTGTGAAAGTAAAATCAGTCTTTGATATAAAATGTTCTTCGGAAGATTCCTGAAAAGATTACCTGGCCTGGGTGGTGCCATTGTCCATCGACTTCAACGGGTGCGAATGGACTGCCGCTGGCGAAAACGCATGCTCCCTGATAGTAAACACAGGTTTTAGACCAAATATTTGAAGTGGCTCATTTCATCAACTTACAAAAATCTGTGCCGTATAATCGGTCGAACAAGACCGTCACCTTTGTCCATGTGTATGCTTGCTCGGCTGTGCACTCTGAATTTGAAGTTGGATTTGAAAGGGGGAATATGATTGGTCGCTGCACGACACAGACCACTTGCCGATATTAGGACCACATTTGGGAACCGAAAGTTAAGAGAATAAGATAATATTGTTTCCACATACGACAGATGTATAGAAGTTCACAATATACACCCAGCTATCAGATTTTAATGATCCGTTCATCATGTAATTTTGGATTATGACCATCTGAATTTCCTACAATTAACTTCATACGATAGACTCTTGAGGAGTGCACTCCTGTTGAGATGCACATTACCGGCGATGATCTCTACTCAATTGCAACGCGCAACAATTCTTATCAGTAGTTGGCAATACCATAAGTATGATTACCTGGCTATACTCGGTCATCGCTTCGCAGATCTCCTTGGTAAAAGATTGAGCCTTCCCGGAAACCCCAATCAGAGCTGTTGGACGAATTGCCTACAAAATCCATGCATTAGACTTAAGCTTCGCCTCGCCTCGCCTCCTTTGTTTTTGGGCATAATATACCATATGCAAATGATTTGACCATAATAACTGAATTTCGAGTCTAATAACATGTTCAAATACCTTCACGCATTCTAGTAGAGTAGAATGTGCTGGATAATCTTTTACAAACGGAATCTTGTGACTTTGTAAGCTGTCCATTCGTGATTTGACGACAAGTCCCTGAAGTTCATTCACAATAAGACGGGGTAAGTCTTCGTCGGATTCGTCGCATAATAAATTCTTGTTCAAATGATTGTAACAGGAGATGAATTTGATCCGCTTGGTCACATTAAGTTTTCATCCAACTACAACAACGAACTGCAAGTTGATCTAACCCATTCTTCAGTTCAGATGCAAGAACTTGTCGGGAGCATTTCTCACCTTAGAATCTACCATCCATATCCTTTCTCGTGCTTCAGGTATTGTTATTTTTGCCTGACAAAGAGTCAAATGAGTATTCAAAGATCACTGAACAAGATGACGGAAAAACTAATACAATGAGGTAGAAGCAGCAGAAGGACAAAGCAAAATTCAAAAGTTATCTCCAAGGTCTCTCCTTTCATTTTGATTCTTCATACATAGAGAAGGTAATCTTTATCAGCTCTGTTAAAGTAAAGAAACTAACCTCTTTACTGATGTATAACGCCACCATTTCAGCTATTCCTGTACCAGCCTTTCACAGACAAACTTGTTATGCTCTGTCTGAACGACATGTTTCTAGGCACAAAGAGCACATATCATCTCCTTGCGCAAATGGAGGAAACGAGCTATATGAAGTCTCTGATCAAAGCTTACCTCTCCTGCTCCATTAAACATAAATGTATGGTCTGAAAGTTGTCCTCCGGTCAGAGGGAGAGCAGCAATCATGCCTGCTAGAGCTACAGCTGCTGTTCCCTGCATTGAAAAGTAGGCACCTTTTGAGGACATTGAAAACACCAACTTGTGAAATAGTTCGGTCCATCGGCGAAAAGCCTTTCTATTTACTCAAAATATATTACGAGAACCTATTTTTACTCGCCTGTATGTCGTCATTGAAAACAAGATGGCTGCCACGGTATTGAAAAAGAAGTCGAAATGCATTATGGTTGGCAAAATCTTCAAACTGGAGAGGAATGAACATTCAAGTACACAAGTTAGCAACTCTGTAGCGTCTACGTCAACCCTATACCATAAGTCAAGAATCTTCGAAGAATATTCCATGAAACGATAATTTGATGGGGTCGCAACTGGCGATTGTAACCAGGGAAGGCTACATTTTGTCAAACAACTTTTTCAAAAAAATTTTGAAGAAATTTAAGTACCATTTGAAGACAATGATAGCTTCCTAAACGTCAGTTTGACCTGGGAATCTTCGTGGGCTGTAAATTCGTATAAGCAAATTAGATTGGAGATTTCCAAGTTGGTACCTGAATTAAAACTCTACTACCATAGCGCGCTTTGCAGGCTTCCATGAACTCATCAACCAACTCATCATACTCCTGTGACTCAAAAACTCATAAATGTCAATATAAAAGTCGAAATCTTTCGTACTCCATATGAAGCTTGTAATGTACTTTAAGATCAAACAATTTTTCAATTTGAATAAGGCTGAGAACCTTTCATTTCAATTTCTGCAGATAAAAATATAATGACAAAGAAGGTCGTAGTTAACATAGACTAACCTCTCCAACTACTCGATTTTGTCGAAGCCCAGGATAGAAAGGGTGTTCGAGCAGAGATTTATTGTTGGTTCCAACGTCAAGTGTTACTGGCAGGCACTAAAAGTACAAAACAGTTCTATCATTCGTCTAGATAAGAAAGGCTTACACAGAAAGCTCCATCCGTAACATCAAAAGTAGAGCAAGCTTCAAGGACAAATTCAAGGCCTAGTTGTCATTAGCTGACTTGGATCTATAATCAAACAGGTTTAGCAACTCAGAACATACTATGCCTCGACTTGAAAAATGGTAGATATGAGCCAGGCTTCAGCATTCATCATTGAAACAGTAAAAAAACACGCCGTCTCTGAGACCTACCTCTGATGGATGCAATCCTCCAATTGCTGTATATAGAGTCAATTTGCCAACAGGGATACCCATGCCCTACACAATGAAGACAAGGTCGTTTGTAACATAATCCTTCAGGGTATATTGGCTTTAACCTGCAGCTTCATATATCTGCTAATACATGAGCTGCTTAGAAAGCACGTTTTCGAATTGTGATACGTTACAGCGCATTGAACTGAACTTGAAAAACTTGTTTGCGTGCTGAACGACTGGAAATATTCTCCGAGTTAGGTTCTCGAACATAACAAACAATGTTGACAGGCTGATCCTAATGGTGACAGAGTAAGAATAAGACTGTTCACTGACCTGCACTCCCAGGTCGCCGAGTCCAAGAATTCGCTCACCGTCAGTGACAACAATCACCCGAACTCTTCTTTCAGGCCAATTTTTCAGAAGTTCCATGACTCTGCCCCTGTCTCGAATGCTGATAAAGAGCCCCCGCGGTCTGCGGAATAAGAGCCCGTATTGCTGACAAACCAGACCTACAGTTGGAGTGTAAACAATAGGGAGGAGCTCTTCAATATTGTCCATGAGAACTCGGAAAAAGAGCCTCTCATTTCGCTCCTGTGAAAGCAGGAAAAAGTACTCAGAATTTGAGAACAAAGATGCAGTTTGGATCAGGCTCCAGGCCTATACAACCTACGAATCACTGAAGGACACACCAATCTGGTAGTTGGTCAAGTACAGTCTGTAGGAGTGATGCAAACAAAAAGTGCCATGGAAAGTGACGTGTTTCTCGTGAGCAATCAACTAGCTCAATAAATAAGACAATTCTGCTGTATTGAGTGGATCAAACTTGTTATCCATGAAAATAAACCTGAAGAGCCATAAGGTGATTGTATTTCATGAGATCGGAGGTATACTCTCGCAGATTGGACATCACACGAAGGACCTGCACATCGGAGCGAAGGTGTTTAGTTCAAAAGCTAAGAGACAAATTCACTCTCTCTAAGAATGAGTACTAATTGAGACTTGTCACGTTCGCCTGAGTACGACATTATAGTTGCATATCACTATCAATTTCAAGAGGTAGAACTACTTGGCCTTGATTAAGATATTTATCCTGAATCTTAACGCTATGAACTTGAATTCAACGTATTTACTCATTCTCTCAAGCATAGCACATTGTACCTGCATATCCTGATTCATGTAAGCTGGTGGGAGAAGTCCGTGAAGATAATGTCTATCACGTTCTGTTTTTGAAAAAGCCATTCCTTTATTATACTTCGGGTTTCGTAGCAGCTCAATACCACTGAATTCACCAAGAAATGGAATTCAGCTAAACAGACGTAGATGGTCACAGATGAACAGCGCTCAACAAAGATGACAGAGTCGAGTTTCGAAGAGAAGTGCAATATCCACTTTCAAATTTAGACATTCGTAATCTGCACGTTGCCGTGTCCTGGCAATAGCAACAATCGCTACAAGAGCTGATCAAAATATACAGCATTCTCACCTTTGGACAGTTCGCACCCAAGGAGTGGCGGGCCTCTCCACATTGTCATCTGACTTTTCCCACGCATCATCATGATAGACTTTCTTATTGACCACACTATCGAGCAAGCTGCTGCCCAGAGCAGAAGCGCCGGTACATCCTCTCCTCGCAACTTCCAAAGTCGTTCTCACATTCTGGAAAATCTGAGTTGATCGACTCCGCACTAGCGGCATTTTGACTGACCAACAATATCAATCATCATCAGTAAACGCCGTACGAAGTGCATCATTTCTCCAGATCATCCATACATCATCGCAATGAAACCAACTATCAGACCAGGACAATCTATCGAAACTCTCAATGTCCCCAAATTCACAACTCTGGCTTCGCGTTCCGAGGGCTTAGAAGACTGACAGTCCACCCTCCTCAAATTGAAACACAAAAACTAGGAGTCCGAGTCCACAGTCTGCAAATAAAGAGATAGGAGTGTACGCACATGGAGACGACAGTCAGCGTAGCTATCCGCCGTAGTCCTCGGTGGACTTCACGATAGATTTCGGAGCCGAAGCTAAGAAGTATGCATCCACCACATCGCTACACGCTTTCCGACATCGGGTGATCGAAACTCGCAACGGGGAACCCGCAGAGAGGATAATGCTGTTTTCCTGGGAAAGCGCCTGGAGATGCGAACGCCTTCGACCTGGAGTGGACACTATCCGTAGAGACTCAAGCCCCGGAACTCGGACAAAGGAGAAACTGCGGTCTCCCTAATATTTCCAGCAATTACTGTGCGAACGTCGTATGATCCCGACCGACTACATGAATGTTGACCACATAACTGCGTTAAATGATTCTCGTCAGCCAGGACTGCCACGGTAAATTCAATGCCGACTGAAAGAATTCACGGACTCCGACTTCCCAATCATTAAGGGGACGGACAGCCCGACGAGTTCACTGCTGAATCACCCGATCGTTCGTGCTGGCGAGGCTGACTGCGGGCAAGATGGGGAAGAGGAAAAGATGCAATTGTGCACGAGACTCTTGAGTGGAGAGTGGCTGGCGAGGGGTCCGAAAGTTCTGGTTGGTGGAGGATAACGCCTTTGAAGCTCACTTTCCGGAGTCTAGTCCCCGAATAAAACGTTCATCTGAAACTGTCTGAATTTCGAATGTACGAAGGCGCCTTCCCGTCTCCTCTGCACGTTGAGGAGCCCAACCTGGTTCAAAGCGAGGCTCTGCGCTGCCTTCGATCGCGATCCAACTCGAAGAACCTAATGGTCATTACGGTACTTAATTGCCCTCGGGTCACGTACCGACGGTCCTGGTCCAGACTTGTGCGTTCCGCGGATTTGTCAGTGCATAGGCTGTCCAACATGAAAACATTATAGCTCTGGCGCCGTTCTGTCCACGTCGTGGTCGTGGACCCTCTCCGGTCCCAAGCCGCGCGCGTCCATCCATTCTCTTCTCATAGACTCGATGAATAACCTTGCTTACGAACGTATGGAGGTTGTGAGTTCGAACCACCTTCAGGTTCAGGCAGACTTTCGTCACAAAAAGTCAAGGCTGCGAACACCAACTCTGACCAAAGCGTTTAGGCTTAGATGCAATTACTATTTCGTCTCGTTAAAGTGGTGCCATACTTGTTTCGATCGTAACTCGAATTAACATTTTCCACACACTCCTGATTTCGGACAATGTCGCCTCGTAAATGAATGCTTCCCTTACATTGTACACGGGGAGCTTCCTGCGTTGCGATTTGCACGCTGTACGGCACCGGACCACAATTCCAAGCAGAGGACACTCGGTTGTCAACCATAGTCATATACTCGGTGAAATGGTGAGTTTACACGGTCCTTTCATTCCCTTGTGGACTTTTTCACAGGTGCCAACCTGCGGTCCTTTGAATCCGTTACCTTGACAATATTTTACCATAAAACCGACCATCATTTTCATCGACAAGATGTGACAGGTACATAGTGAGACTGTTCAACTAAATGACTCGGATTGACAGACCTGCATGACCTCCCAGTTTATTGACAGTTCTAATGGGCAACCAAAACGCAGAGGACCGGTTGCACCGGTGATTAGACTGATGGTGTCCATGAGCAGCTTGCGAATTCTCCACCGATTGTTGGCAAGATTCTCTCGAGGGATCTGCTGAGGTGGTTAGTTACATCATCCCGAACGGAAGCCATTGCAGTGATTCATGCAAAGATCTCTTTGAGTTAGATTCAAGCCGAAAGCATCGCTCACTCCTCACTCCAGGAGCAAACCACGAGGTACCAGTTCAGATCCGTCCTGAAAGATAACACAGATTTAGATCGTCTACAATAGACATTGCCCTTCGATTGCTCTGAAGCCAACTCCTCGTGGCCTTCACTCAATCTCAATCTCCTAAAAGTTCCCTCGGAACGACGTCTTGCTACTTGGAAACAGTACGATCCTACATTCGCGTGACAACAGAATGGACCCTTTCCCCGTCACGAGATTCGCACCGAGCATGGTATACCTGTCTATATATATTTGAACGTTAGTAAACAGTAAGTGAGATTGCGTGCTGCTCGAGCAGACGAACAGGTCCTTCTGCCTGCTCTGGGAATCCACGCAACGGGTATGGCGTGAGAGGGTGGATGAAGCCAAGCCAATGTCAAGGAGCCAGACCCGCAGATGAGTAACAAAAGCCTCACAAGCCTCGAGGCAATTGATCCCCACCGGGTGCCAGAAGTTGACCTTCTCAAAACGAGTCCCTTCGTACTGTGTTCTGCTGAGCAGGTTCTTTAGACTAGTCCCTTGAGCAGCCACAATACAGATCATAGTAGATAATGTTGAGAAACCCGTAAACTACTCAATCACTCACTCACTCACTATCGGCTTCCTCGTCATCATCCTTGAACATGGCTGCCATTCGCATGGCTAACTGTGCAGCCATCTCTCTTCTGTGATGATCTGATACCGTGCGCATGTTCTCGCGCATGGACGCCATCTCGTGCATGAGTTGGTCGATTTCATCAAAGTCATTATCTACATGTGCATTAATCCCAGGATTGATATCAGCATCTTCCCTCTTGACTCCATTCTCGTCCTCAGTGTTCACCACCACGGCCCCATTCAGCTGGGGCTCCGCTTCCGGCTGAGCCACTTCAACAGGCTGGGGCTCATTCTGGCCGTCATTTGTCACTGAAACCGTAGGCACTGAGTCACGAGGGTGAGCGTCTGCATCGTCCTTTGAAACGACGGTCTCTTCGCTGGTCTCCAATACGGGCATATCTTGAGCTGAGGGAGCTTGTGTCCACTGATCCTCCCATCCAGATCCATCCCAGGGCTCAGCTGAACCATTTGACAGAAGCTCATACTCAATGTAATAATCCGAGTCGTCGTCACTTGTCGAACCTTCAGATGCCACAGCCTAAGTGAGGTTAGGCAAAGCTCCTCAAGTATCATACTACCGACTGTGTAACGAGCACAAATACGCAGAGTATGTGAAAAGCCTCTAAACTTCAAGATTCTGGACACACACCTTCTTGTTCAGGCTGCAAAGTGGTAGACTTTTCTCTTTGATTGCTCTCTTTCATGACCAAGCCTGGCCACATATGGGCAGAGAGAGCTCCGTGAATTCTAGCAACACCCTGAAGATCACCGTCGACTGACATACCTGCCAAAAGGACCGATGAGATCACCCAGTTGAGTTTAATCGTGCTAATTACGTCAATTGTTTCAATCTGTTTACGAGGAAAGCGTTTAATTTGTTATGCTGTGAACGCAAGCTCGTCCTGTTCCACCTTCCTCAACGCAATGAATTTTTAATCAACCGATCGAAACAACCCTCGCGGATCATAGAATGAACGAATGAGAAAAGCTTCTGCTCTCAGAACACAAGATCCTGACGGTTTCCGACTTAGAAGAGATACTAACATTTGTCAAAAACCTCATTTATAGCACAAGCTTCAATGTATTCAATTCCCCGTTCACTGCACCACTCTATTCGTGAGCGCCTTGCATCTTCTGCAGAAGAAGAACTTTCCTCCCCCAGCAGACTGCTGCCCTCTGAACGATCGATACCGAAGTCCCAAAACTCTGGGTGCGGGTCGCTCGATGATTCGCCTCCCTTTTGAAGCTTCCGGCGATATTCGGCATGAGCAAAGTGCTCAGGGACGTGATCAGCTTTATTGCCAACACACAACAGAATTTCGAAATTCTCAAGCGCAACTTTTGTTGCCCATTCCTGCAACTCCTTGAAGGAAGCATCCTACAGTTTCATAAACTCTCCGCGTTAAAAAACTCGCTTCCAAGGGGAAATCGAGATTGCGTAAATCCAAGTCGTTTGAATCGACCCAAGGCGGAACAAGTGTCTGTCACCAAGCTCAGCTACTTCCCTGTCCTATAAGCTGAACAATAGCATAGTTACGACCAATCAGTTGACACTAGTCGGGTTTCCCGAAAAGCAGAAACAATCTGAATCGATAAAAACATAGATTTTTCTCCTCTGCATCCATTCGTTGCAATTCCCTGTCTCCTGAAAGGAAGGATAGATGGCCTACGTTGCTCAAGTCGAAGACCATGACCAGAGCCTCGCTGCGCCCATACTGGACTTGAATAAAATCGGAATCCTCCGAAGAGCTCTCAAGCCGGGCCATCCAGATACACACATCCGCTGTGTAGTATTTGGTATCAATTGTCCACCTGCAGCCATCAAGTTCGAAATCGCCACAAACTATTCAGCTAACCATCTGCAGACATAATCGAGAGTTTCCTACACAACGCAGAAATTAAGCCCCGCTACACACAGCCTCCTTGATATACAACGGAACTGAGGCCAAAGTCTCTCCTAGACAAATGTAATGCATCGAAAATATGATCTTAATTACCCATGGCAAGATGGTCCAGACTCCGATGTAGCAGAAGCAGATGTTTCCTTCGAAATGAGCCCTGCAGCATGAACCCATAGAACTTCATCGAGCTGCCCATCTTTTCAGATATAAATACAAAATCACCACCGGGAAACAACAGCAGTTGTCTACGCAGCTGTGCAATCCCACTCTGAACTTGGAAAGAAAGCAGTTTCTTCCGACGCTCTGACAACGTAGAATATATGCAATCCCTAAACACAAAGAACGCTGCGGTACCCAAGTCAACTTCACCAGGCTTAGAGTCAACCACATCCGCTAGAGCAGGAAGAAGAGGCCAGGAAAGGAAATGCGGCACACACGATTAAGAAGAGAACGTTTGCCGACAGCCGGAGGACCCACCAACAGAATACTGGGCCTCGTTGTTAACACTCTCAAATCCCCAACGTCCGACTCGTCAATCGGCTTTGGTTCCTGGGATGAAGTAGTTGCTATCTCCATCCCCATGTTTAATTCAAGTTCTGGCCCAGCCACTCACTTCCACCCGACCTACCGACGTTGTAAACCTTTCTTCTCTACCATCAGTGAAACTCACTCGCCCATCGATCTGGCCTCTGCACCTGTCATATAAAATAGCTCCAGGCATGAAACAACCCTACATCCACTAAAACCTCATGTCACAAAAGTATACACAAATTCAATCGGCGATCGATCCACGCTCCACCTTCAGCTTGCACGTAAAAATCGCCGGTCTGTACACTCCACAACTGCTCAAAAGGTAGAACAAGCACTAAAGGCACGTGAGGGACAACTCCCGCTACTTCTTCCCCGGCATCGGCAATTGATATCAGTGACAGCACCACAAACCCTCAAATTGCTTTGTGCGACAATCCAGTACCTGCCAGTACGGTACAAACATGAAAGATGCGGAAACCACAACAAGATGCTCGATTGGATGCTCGATTAGGCGTTGGAGATGCACGCCCGTATTTACGGCTAACCTTGTGTGTAAGTGAGCAGGCAACGAAATCGAGGCCTAATCCTCTTCACCTTCTGTAGGCTGCCACAATACCATGCCACCACAAGCACCACCACCTCCAGTTGCAACTCACGCCCCAGGCGCCCTCACAATATCATGCCAAACCGTCTGCGTTTAAGTTTCCCGGCGTATATAGCCACGATGACGGGAATCTGATAATTCCAGTCACAATATTTGCTCGCTCGTACGAACTGGACTGCACTGGTCGGAGTCATAACTTTCTTGGCTGAAATGAACCTTTTCTTTCTTTCTTCATTTCTTTCTGCCAATGATGCTTGACGAACGATTTAAACATGAAGCCCCATTATGAAGGCCACTGATTGTCGGAAGAGCTTGTGATGGGGAAGATGCCTTCGAATCACATCGAGTTAGCCAGTTAGGCCCTCACACAGCACATGAGAAAATAACTTCGTTCGTGTGGAGAACATTTTGCACATGCGTTCCCCCATATACTCTGTTGCAAAACTAAATTGTCGCAGTTTGGACGGTAGGTCGCTCGACCATTACCATGTGAAAGGCAATAGAAAATGTTAATCAACTGTCGAACAATTAAACCCCACATCAGGAGTGTCAGGTAATGTGATGATGTGCAATTAACCTGGCGATCTACCTTCACATCCAAAGTTGATTTCATTGTACAACTTGACCCGTGAGTTATGAGATTCTAGGCACGAGACTTTGACACTTTAGTAGAACCATCTTGCGTACTCAGTCTGTAGAACAAGCGAAATATGAGGTAAGAGCCATGCGCTCATGTACACACATCTTGAAAGTTTACGTGTATCTCTCAACTGCTTGCTTTCGATTGCGTAATATTTGTTTATGGATGCTCGAAAAAGTACAAATTTGTAATTGTCAATAGCCCGTTTGAATGTAGATTACGGTATTGCTTTTACTTTTCTGAAATTGTGTGAAATAACTCTGCTTACAGCAGTCCAGTACCAGAATCCGTTTGACTACAGTACTTTCGACAACAGCTAAAATTTTAGCTAAATTTAAAAAGCTTTTGCTAACTTGGGTATGCATAAAAAGTACTGCTAAACAGAACTCATAGGATATTGGGACATTAAAAACCTTGTGTGGATAGGGTGTAAATGCATGTGAAACTTTCGGGCCTTTCAATTTGGGACCTAGTCTTTTGTATGGACATACCATGTTATAATGCAGCGCTATATTTAAAAATCCAGAAACAAATAACGGGTACCGTAACATGTATGTCATACTTGATTCTTTCAAGAATTTTCTCTATATATCATGTTTTCTATACATCGCTCTACTTATATTTATAATTTCAGAAACAAATAATACTTACCGTGACATGTATGTCATACTTAGTTCTCTCAAGAATTTTCTGTATTTAACATGTTATCTATACAGTGCTATACTTATATTTATAATTTCAGAAACAAATAACAATTACCGTGACGTGTATGTCATATTTAATTCTTTCAAGAATTTTCTGTACATTTCAATATCAGAATATTTGAAGAACAATAAGGGGAGTCTTCTCGTTTTCTACAGTGTTCATAATAAGTTATAATGTATAACTGATTAATGATGCTGTATAGTGCTCGTTATATCAAATGTTGAACTCCCATGTATTACATTATGGACATCTTTTGTAGCAAAGTGCAGAAAGTGAATAGTTTTTCTTTGGGATATGTTTAAAGATAATGTTTTTTTCTAAGGCAGTAAGTATCTTTTGATGCAAAAAAATTTCCGGACAGCAAGCATCAAATTCAGCGAAGATATAATATTGCATAGTAGAGCTCCATAGGGTCTATTGCAATGAGAATAAGTGGTTATTAATAACTGATGCAATATTTTGGACTCATTTAATATACTTTCCATTTATAAGCAATGACATATGAGCTGAAAATAATGACGCAACAAAACCTTCAGTATTTTGCCATATGAATATGAAGGTGGGACCACTATGGTATCTTACATACTCTATACAAGAATGACTAGCACTATGTGTGATCATGAACATTATAACAGTTGGTTAACCTTATAGTGGGTAAAAAATACACCTAAATGTCAAGCAAACAAGTAACGCATGACAAGTTAAATTTCATTATATTTTCAAAGAAAAGTAGAATGTTGTTGCTCGCAATATCATGTGATCTATTTTGAGCACATTGTACAATTCCTTACCATAATATTTGAGGACAACTTGTACTCCAATCAGAGTCATTGTTACCTTTGACGCCAATTTTCTATGATCTAAATTTGATTCATGATATACTCATATATTCAACATTGAAATATAGCTAGCAAATTATATTTTTAATGAAAAAAATCATAAACCCTAAATTAGTAAGATTTTATAAAGGAAGGTCATTGATTAGAATTAGAAATCATAAGACTCCTATTAAAAAAGATGCTTAAGTTCCATGTTAAAAAAAATTAAATTTAACTCTACAAACCTATCCTTAGATATCATAAAATAATGTACAAATATTATACTAGTGATGTACCCAAAGACATCACACAAAAAAGGGATATTCTCGAAAACGAAGAGTGTTTGGAGCATTATCATAAGCACTAGTCCTGGATTGCCATGTGTAGATGGGATCTGAAGAATGTTTAACACAAAGAGTTTTCTCATTGGATATGGTAAGGAAAACATGTTTAACTATTTTAAGGTTCAATACACAGCCAAGACTTGTGGATGCACTCAGCAAACCTACTCGTAGTCCTGCTGCTGCAAGATTCCACTGGTTTCTTAAAGAGTCAACCACTGCAAGGCCCCTACATAGAACCCATTGGTGTAAGAACTAAAGTCTATACAGTCACCCTTTGACAGCTTTCTGAGCCCGTAGAAGTAACGTGACCCATATAACATATAGAAGCTTAGAGTGGTGCAATCTCGTCACCCTCCGATAATCCCAGTAGAGACTCCACCATATTGCACCCAAAGAGCGAGGAAAAGCCTGCGGCAGAATAAAAATAAAATTAATAGGTCCACAAGTACATAGTACGCAAAGGAAACCAAAGAAAAGCTAACAACTCGGCGACCTTTGATGAGGAACAGGATAGGAAAGGAAAAGTCCAAATTATTCTCATGGAGGGCGTCTAGATGTAACGAGTAGTTGTGCTTAAAAGCATTCGACAACAAAGGGGAGAAGAATGCTGCGGGTTTGAGGAGCCCATAGGTCAACTTCCCAATCACAGCAGCTAACATGTGTAGTTTTTTATATTCTTGTTTAAAAGGAAAACAATTCGCATGGACACACATCGAAAATTGTTGTGATGAGTTGTCTTTCTCTAACGACCATGGGACTAAGTCTCTATCCCTTGAAAGACGAGATTTCTCTGCACTACCTTCCTTGAATCTCTGCCATTCTCTTTAAGAAAGGGTATCCCAAGATATACAAAAGAGCGGAGATCGTGTCACCATTATTATGACCCGGGAAACCATAACAAATCATTGTGTTTCCCCATGAGACGTGCCGATCGAAGTCTAGTCCTGTGGACGAATTTTGTTGGGTATTGAGAACTTAAAGGTATCCACTTCGACATGTTTTGTGGCAAAGTCCATGCCTTCCTTGAAATAATAGGCTTGAATGATGGCATATACTCTTCCCAGGTCTGTTATTTTCAATCTATGCTGATAAATAAACTGAAAAATGCATCTCAAAAAATTTACCATTGCATTTGTTGAGGTTTATTTGGCGCGAAGAAATTGATCCAGTACTCGCAATGTGGTAAGATGGGCTATGTGTCCCGAGTACTCGAGCGTTTACAATCACAAGACCGCTTTCGGACCGAAGCGTTTATTACAAGACTATATAATGTAATGATGTGGTTTGGCACAAGCGTTTGCGCTCAACCATAGTTGCAGCAGGAAAGTTGGAAAATTTCATATGAAGGAAAGATATGACTATTACTGTAGATGTTTCAAAATATTCCAAAAATTATTCAATCACATTTTCTTTCTTCATTTCACCGACCTGACGGACGTCATTGGACACTTATTAAAGCTTTCATTGCATAACAACTATTTGGCGAGAATAGTTGGATCATATCAAATGTATAGGACAAAAAATTTGACACGCAAATTCCTTTTAGGTTTGAGTAAATCAATTTTAAATACCCAGAGATAATCATTCTAGTCGAATTTGTATGTCCTTCTGTACCAACGTTTTCTTGTGGTAGAGTAGTCAACTAAGTCTATGTGCTGCTAATTAGTTTCCTTGTACGACACTGTCAGTTTTCGATATAGCGAGTGCAACCCCTTGGTGTTCTCGCAGCACTAATATATTTACTGATTTATAGCAATTGCAATTTTTTGCATAATCGTTTAGGATCCGACCGGTCGTCTCTTTTTTACTTGCTGGTGTAGGTCAAGTCCTTCCTCTGTGAAGGCGCCATTTTGAGGTCGGGGACCGTCCTTGGATGGGTCTCCCTTGGCCATTATCGGTGCCAGACGGTACCTGAAATCTGTCCCGACATGAGAGCTTTACCTTCCTGGCCATGGGACGAGAGTTCCATCTCTATGGCCAAACGGGACTGATTTCACGGGTACGGGGCTGGTAGGTAACCTGGGTTGGGCTGCGTATACGCATCGGAAGGACGCGAGATGGTCGTGTTAGTCTATGTTCACTCGTCGGCGACCTTTTAGAAGAGGTAAGCCTTTTCCCGAGTTACCCGCGACAGCAGGTGACGTTTCTGGACGCGGTCTCGATTCCGATGTACACTAGCGCAGGAAAGGGCACACTGCCCGTAGGAACATAATCACGATGTGAATCTGGAAAGGGCCAAGTCTTCTGCCATGCATGTGACGTGACCGATCAATCAAGACAAGGCCGCTCATGGATCCAGCACAGTCCGTAATCTATTGCGGTCAGACTACGATCCGAGTACGTTATCGCGCTCAGTACCCTTCATGGGTGGTACAATTATGGCCGCGACGCCGTCGGAGTGACTAGAGGTGGTCTTCGGCAAAGACTACGATGCACTTTGTCATCTGTTCTACATCTCCTGGTATTTACTGGCATATCCGTACCAATATATCTTCTGTACACATCGACATCTGACTATGATTGGGCTAAAAGTCCACTTTCTTCCACATGTGGATTTCTGAGCAAATTGCATTGTTCAGAAATTCTTTTTGCTGTATTTCTTGGTCCCCACAAAGAAATCCACATGCTTGGATTGACCAGTTGTGATTCTCTCTTTCATAAACGGCACACAAATAACGCATACAGGAACAAGGGTCTTGAAATTCCTGGGTTCATATGCCTTGCTGAACCTTTCCGACTAACCGGTGGACAGCCAACACCAATCAAGACCTTTTGTAAGGCATAGGGGAGGAGTTATCGCAGTGAGACAGTTGAGATCGTCCCTAGAATATAAAATACCGGGTAACA